TAAACTCATTTGAACTGTATTTTAAAGAAAACATTACCTCTCAAATGGATACATCCATCGAAATTAGACGGGACCTGCAACTTTGGCCTCATAAGGCAAGTAAACTAAGAGATGCTCCATCGAATCAAAAAACGCTGGAGGAAATATCATTTCTAAGTTGCAAAGAATAATTGGAATATCTCTCTCTAGTTTTTCCATGTGCGATACTTTTAACACTGTCGAGCAAATATCATGGAGGAAATTGCTTAATTCTGTAATGGCGCCCCATACAAAGTTCGGTAAAACTTCCTTCAAAGCTATTGGAATTAGTCTTTCCATCAGGATGTGACAATCATGACTCTTCAAACCTGTCAACTTGCATTCCTTCAAATCAACACATCTCCCGAGGTTCAAAGCATATCCATCAGGAAACCGCACAGATTTCAACCATTGACAAACAACTCGCCTCTGCTCCTTATCCAATGTATAAACTGCTTTCGGTTTTGGTCCCCTGCTGCTTGCATCCACAGCTAGTATTGGCCGATCGCAAATATCTCTCATATCTTTTCTTGCGTTCAAGTTGTCTTTTGTTTTTTCCGGCGACATCCATCATAGTATTTATGACATTGTCGAAAACATTCTTTTCTATGTGCATGACGTCAAGATTATGATGAATAAGATGGGCCTTCCAATATGGTAGATCCCAAAATATACTGTGTTTTGTCCACTTATGTGTACTTCCGTACTCAAAAGTCGTGCCGTGCGGGTTTTCAACAACAGTTGGAAAGTCCCGCACACGCTCCCAAATTTGATCGCCGGTCAACCTCAATGGTGGACGCGTTCTTTCGATCCTATTCTTGCCGAACTCTTTCTTATTCCTTCGAAAGGATGACTTGGCGGTAAAAATTGTCTGTGACAGTCAAAATAGCTAGGCTTCTTTCCATGTTTTAATCTAAATGACTTTGTCCTCTCCAAACATATCGGACATCCTAAGATCCCAACTGTACTCCATCCAGATAACATTCCGTAAGTTGGAAAGTCATTTATCGTCCAAAGAAGGGCAGCCTTCATAACAAATGTTTGATCGGTAGAAACGTCATACGTAGGGACACCTTCAACCCATAGCCGTTGTAACTCCTCAATCAATGGTTGCATATAAACATCTATCAACTTTTTCGGATTTTGCGGCCCTGTCACGATCAATGTCAAAAACATATAAGGTGTCTTCATGCACATACCAGGTGGAAGATTGTACGGCGTTAAGATAACTGGCCAGCATGAATAACTTTTTCCTGTTCTCCCAAATGGAGCAAATCCATCGGCACAGAGACCTAACCTGATGTTCCGAGGCTCCATTACAAACTCAGGGTATGTTATATCAAAATGTTGCCATACCTCTGCATCTGAAGGATGACACATTAGACCCTCTTCTCGTTTCATGATTTGCATGCCAAGTCATGTGTTCAGCGATGGCTTTAGACGCATAAAGCCTTTGCAAACTGGGGATTAAGGGCGGATAAAACATTTGCTTGCATGGTTTACGCTTCGATTACGACCCGGCCTCCTGTTAATCTTGTACCTAGGTTGGCTACAGAATTTGCAAGATTCTGCATTTTCATCATCTCTCCAATATATCATACAACCCTTACTACATACATCAATCCTTACAACCGGAAGACCTAAGTTATCCACTAGCCTTTTCATATCATAAAAATCACTTGGCATGTTGTTATCACGAGGCAATGATTCCCGCATTACTTCAACAAAAGAGTTGAAGCAATCCATGCACACATTATGCTCGCCTTGATATTTAATAGTCGGGTGTCACCGATAACTTAGTGTGGTCCTCACAAACCTGTCCATAGAGGTTCATCTCGTCGCTTTCAAGACATCCTTAACCGATTAGATTGAAAAGTTTCATTATACACATTCTCCTCAAAACCCGTTACTCCTATATCTTCCAATTATGAAGCATGACTAGTACCCACTTGTTCACGTGTAGGAGTAAAACTAGTACTTGCATGATTTGCTTCTGTGACAAAATTATAACTAGCTGCATCAATCACCATCCTCTCGTATGGGTTCAATTGCTCATAATAGCCACATTCTTCCCTAACTGAAAATTGGTCACTTCTTCCATATCCTTCATCAGATATAAATGGTTCACAATGGGAAGTCCAATTATAATAGTTCGGAGTAAACCCAAATCTAATAAGGTGTTCTCTAACTTGATCACACACAAGAAATTTACCATTACCGCACTTTTTACACGGACACCTTAACTTATTTCCATCCATAAACTCATATTTACTACTAGCAAAGTCTAAAAATAGTTCCAACCCAGTACGAAACTCATCTGTCAATCCTTGACGTCCAGGTAAGTTCTTATTATACATCCAAGCCCTTTCTCTTTGCATTGTGTCTGTATTAAAATAAAAAATTCTGGTAAAATATTTAAAATATCATATCTATTGTTCTTAATTAAAACCATAAAATTTTGGAAATTATAATTTTTGTTATTCACGCAACAATTAATATCAAATTGCAAAAATAGAAAAAACTACAATGTAAAGAAGACTTACCAGGTGCTATTTGACTGAAATATTTGTAGGAAAAAGTGATCAATTTGATGAGAATTGCAACGTCCACTTGAATTGCGAGACCTTCAATTAGGCATATACCCAAAAAAGAATAATCACTTAAGAATCATTTTTTAATAATTTTTAATGTGCGATGGAAACGGAATGTATCCGTCGCAAATTTGCGACGGATACTCAACTCCGTCGCAAATTTTGCGACGGAATTTTCATTTATTCGTCGGAAATTTGCGACGAATAAATGAAAATTCCATCGCAAATTTGCGACGGATACTACGTGCCGTCGCAAATTTGCGACGGATACTACGTTCCGTCGCAAATTTGCGAAGGAATTTTCATTTATTCGTCGCAAATTTGCGACGGAATCAGGTATCCGTCGCAAATTTGCGACAGCACATAGTATCCGTCGCAAATTTGCAATAGAATTTTCATTTATTCGTCGCAAATTTGCGTCGGAAACTATTTCCGTCGCAAAACGGCGTGGCCGTTCGGCCACATCCAAAGGCCGGCGAGGTGTCGCCGGTCGCCGGTCGTTAAACCGGTGATGCAGATACAAAAAAAAAACAAACATAAACATATATTAAAAAAACGGAAATTACAATGCAACGACGAATAGTCACGAAACTAGCTATGACACTTACCGGTACAAAAGCTTCACCGAGATTAATATGTGCATGCGCGGATTTTGCTGATTTCAGACAAACGAACGAGGGAGAAAAACGAGAGAGAGCGAGAGAGAGAGATAGGGTTGGAATATCACGGGCTGATAAACTACGAATTTGCGACGGACGCAGTTTTCGTCACAAATTTGCGACGGATTTACAATGCCGTCGCAAATTTGCGACGGATTTTGCGACGGTTTTATTTTCCGTCGGAAATTTGCGACGAACGTTTTTCCGTCGCAAATTTGCGACGGATTGTATTTTCTGTCTCAAATTTGCGACGGAAAATACAATCCGTCGCAAATTTCGTGTTTTTTTGTAGTGATATCACTTAAATATATTATTATAATGTACCTTATATACATATTTTTAAGCAAATCAAGATTATACCTAAGGCGATCATCGCAACAAATGCGACCACAACCGTGGTGGTTGCCACCTATCCATCGAGCTAACTACTGCGATAGCTGTAGCTCGCTGTGGTCAGCCACTCATAATTCTCTCTCTCAGTTTGTTATTTTTTCTTATTTCGGTGTTATTAATTTATACTATGATTATTTTATTTTTATTTTTATTTTGTATAACTACACCCGACATGATATCCGATGTTTCACCAAATCAAAAATGGATTATTACAATTTCTCACATCATTTATGATGACTTATTTTATCAAGTCCTATACACTGTTTTGTGATCAAATACAGTAAAAAACATTACTGTTTCATTTTTTCTTACCAATAATTTCTGGGTGGTTTCTTTGCTCCTTTCCTGAATAAGAATATCTGCTAAATCTATTTCTCAATGGTCAAACTCCGCACCTACATGAACTTGCCGGTTGCAGATTTACTTGCCGAGGAGAACTTGTGATCCAGAATCTACCGTTATCTCTAAAAATGACCGTACCGTTATCTTAGCCGGGCTCTGCGGAATATTCCTGACGAGTGGTCCCAACTAGTTCTTGGGTTAAACGACAAAACCCCACCATCGTCCGTGTTCACATGCATTAAGTTGAACGACAAAACCGCCCGTCCGGCTTCTCCCATACGGACTCGTTGAAAACTAGGTCAAGTTTCCATCGCTTGTCCCACTCGCTGTGACTGCACCCTCCTCAGCTCTGCAGAGCAGGCCGGGTCGGGTCTATCTCGTTTTCCATTTCCCGGTTACAGTTTTGCAAAGCACATCTTACTGGGGCAGACCATGATGCAGAAGCCAATGTACAACTTGGTAATCAAATACAGCTTTTACGCTTAGTTGAAAATCACTTGGGGAACAACACTCACGTTATACACGGAAAGAGTAAGGCAGCACGGGGTGGATCGGGTCGGGTTTGGGTCGGGTCATAAATGGTTCGACCCAAATTGACCAATTAATCCGTTTATGACCCATTTATGCGCAATGCAATTTTTATGATCTATTCCCAACCCGATCCATACCCAACCCATATCCGATCAGATCCATATTGCTAAAACACTTCCATATTTAATTAAATATAGGAAAATTCATACCCAAGCCAAAATGAGAGTGCGGAGTGAGTGAGTGCAAGATTGAGTGAGGGTAAGAGAGATGCGTTGAATTTAAATCAGTTGTAAACTCATTTATGACCAATTTAACACCAATATAAGACTTATACCCATTTATGACCCATTTACTAAATAAAACTAACCCATTTATGATCAATTTATTAATATATGGGTTAAGAAATGGATTTATGAGTTTATGATCCATTTTGACATGTCTAGCACGGAGTTATTTATTTATGATATTTTCGGTTCAACCAACCACCGAATAGATAAGGTTTTTGTTGTGGATGCTCAGTTGGTGCCGGTCGGGGTGGTGAGTTGCTTCTTGGCAGCTTCTGCGAGATCCGCAAACAGCTTCACCGAGATGAGGGAGACGTCAAAGGATGCCCCGTCGACGACTTCATACTCCACGGTGGACTTGATCATGCACGACTCCTCATTGTCCTTGCCGATCACTTCGAAGCGCACTCGATACAGTGTAAGTCCCATGTCCAGGAACCCGCCTTCGACCGCCTCGGTTTCTTTCACACGGCTTTCGTGGTCCACCTTGGTGAACTTCTCCTTATAGCAGAAACCTGTCGCAACAAAGGAAAGATGGGGTCATGGACGTGTGCAGTTGTTGATCATTGCGTCACTCGGACAGACACGCACAATATCACATACCTCCGGCCAAAGTGAGCTTGATGATGGTGCCGAGGGCGCCATCACCTTCCTCGATGTCGAGTTGGAGGATGGTGTGAGAGAGGGCCTCCTTGGCCAGCAGGGCCAGCTTGATGGAGCCATACAGCTCCCATACTTTGCCTGCTCCCACCTTCACTTCAGTCTCGTGCGACACCTGCCCAAACATCTCTCTCTCTCTCTCTCTCTCTCTCTCTCTCTCTCTCTCTCTCTCTCTCTCTCTCTATAACCGATGTGTGTTTATACGTCTGTGGAGGAGGATGGATGGATGAGATGTGTGGGTGGGGGTGGCACATGTATATATAGAACAGTCGGAGAAGTCGTTCCCTTGTCTTGTTTTCTGAAATTCACTCTCAAGGCCGAAGGAAGGAACCCGTTGCTTTTGCATCTACGTAGAAGACCTTGTAAAGAATCGTATTGTCGTTTCCGCTTGTCGTATACGTGAGGGCATATATGCGGTTCTGGTCTTTCTTGTAACACGACGATGCCTCCTTTGGCTCTGGCCACGGTAGCCCGTCGCCTCGATTCCTCCAAGAAAGACTTCGATTATATGTGGCACTCCACGTGTAACATAAGAAACTAAAACTTGAAAACGTGTTTAGGGAAAGTTGCATGGTCGGTACTAAACGTATATTCCGGAATTCAAGCAAAACCTAAATTTTTTAATCGAACCAATTTAGTCTTAAAACATTAAGAAAAAGAATAATCGAGTCTCTTAATCTTACTCGATTTATTAGATGTGATTATTCAGCCATCGACGCCCTCCTAAACGTAACAAAAATGCTCATTGAAATTCAAAAGATCCAAAGACATTAAGACAAACTTAAAGTCTTCCTACCAAAGGCCAATTGCATATCGAATGCATAACTAAGAACAAGAAAGCACGACATCCACCTATACATTTTCGTCTCCTTATTAGCTCGTGGAAGCTCTTGCTTCAATCCCTTTATCTCAACTAGAATGGAGACTTCTCGAGAAAAAATTAGGTAGACCAGTTTTACCATGTAGGCGATAAGATACTTCATTCAGAGCTCGCCGCTCGTCCAGGTGGGGGCTCAATGGTCAATCTCTTGTCTCTCTCTTGTCCCTTTCATAATCGTTTTTCTTTTCGATCACTGCCAGTGTCAATAGCCATGGCCACGAAGCCCCCACCATCAGCCACTGCGACCTCACGTCGGCCTTGGCCGACGGTGAATTGGATTTGTTTTATTTTTATTTTCCTTGCGGAGTTAAAAGAGGGGCCGTCTTGAATTTCTTCCTTTTAGGGTTTTGCTTGTTCCGATTCTGAATTGGTGAGAAAAGTATGATATTTTTGGGGATTTCAAATGGTTGTGGAATTAAAAGGGAGAGGCAGTCCAGGAAGTTGAAATAAAAAGGTGAGGGGAGTGTATTTCTTCCCGGACCGCCTCTCCCTCGTCCTCGAGCAGAACTCAGAAAAAGAACAACAAAAATTAGTGGAAAAAATGAATGCTGGCCAATAATTTCCTCAAGCCGAGACTGAGAAATCGAGGATCCAGGGGTGACGCCGTGCATGGCAAGGGCATCGGAGGAGAAGAGGTCGGCCTCGAGGAGAGGGCAATCGTCAAGGTTGAAGTTAGAGGGAGAGCCGCCAGGGATGACAATGGAGTTGAGAGTAGGAGGGTTGGCAGGCGAGAGCCTGTGCTCAAGAGCATATGAGTTGCGAGGAGGGGAGGTGTTGAAGGACGACATTGTAGAGGAAAGAGAGAGGGTCCTTGACGGGCCGGAGACGACAACATTGGTTATAGCAGGGACGAAGGAGGTGGCGCAAATGGGGAGCATTTGAGAGGTCGACGGCGGAAGAACGGAGGCCCGGTTTCCTACGTCGCTGGAGGCATTGAGGACGTCGTTGCCTTGTTGGAGAAGAGAGTAGTAGGAGTGAAGCGCAGACGAAAGAGACAAGAAACTGACCAGTGAGCCTCACATGTAAACGGGGCGAGCACTGAATGGAGTATTCTACAACCTACGTATCAATATTATCTACCTAATATTTTTTCGCGACTTCCCTTCATCAACACCGTCTTCATCGGATCCCTTGCTATATCAATCGGCTCTACTATAAATTCTCTTACTCGATTTGGTGCTTGCACTTCCCTGGCATACATATAAAACCTACCACGTCCATGAAACCTTCTTCCAGAGTTAGACATTGAAAATCATTTAAGATTAAAGAAAATATACATGCTTAAAATTAATAAAATAAATTCCCCACCTTGAAAGAGGAAAACGTTTTTCAGGATTATTATAACCCGGAAAGTGTTTTCCTTTATCACGAAGTTTTTCCAGAAACAAATGCATCGATAATGAATTATTTGAAAAATATTCATCTAAAAATGATCGCTTGTATCGCTTACAAAAATAAACGAGCAAAAAATATTTTCATCGTCAATGAAGATATTTAAACATAAATTATTATCAATAATGAAAATATTTGTTATTGTCTAATTATTTGGAGTTATTTTTAGGAGAATGTTCTGTGAAACATTCTCCTAAAAATGATCATTTATATCGTTTATAAAATTGAATGAACGAAAAATATTTTCATCATACACGAAAATATTTAGACATAAACTGTTGTCAATCATGAAAACATTTTTCAAGCGATACTAGCCATAATCATTAGAAAATTACTTTTTAAAATATTCATTTTTCGCGGAATAAATTAGCCTAATTATAGTGGTGGTGAATGGATTTAGTTAATTTTGATGGCCCAGGGAAGCTGGCCTGGCCTAAAGTGAATCGAAACGTGAAATACGATACAATAGGGAAAATTGTCCGAAAAGTCCTAAACATATTGCATTTTTGCCAATTCAGTTTTAAACCTTTTAACTGTATCAATTGAGTTATAAACCTTTTCATGTTTTGCCAATTGAGTTCATCCTACTATTTTTTTATAGGGACGCCGACCATCCTACGTGATATGGCCGGTATCGACGTGAATAATTTTTAATAATTTTTTTTATTTTGTTTCTTTTTTTCTATCCTTCTCTTTTCCTTCCTTAGTTTTTCCTTTTTCTCTTTTTTATCTTTTTATCTTCATTTATTTTTTTGTTTTCTATTTTCTTTTTCCATTTTTCCCTTCGTCGGTCATCGCCGAGCCTCGTTGATGGCCGGCGGACGAGGGCGGCTCTTTGCTAGTTCGGGAGAGGGCAAGGGTTGTCCTCGCTAGGCTAGGCGTGGGTGTCCCTTGCTCAAGATCAATCCTTGCCTAAGGTCTCAAGATCAATCCTCGCCTAAGGCCGACGACCTTAGTCGGCGGAGGAAAAAAGGAAAAACGAAAAAAGAAAAAATTGAAGGAGAAAAAGAGAAGAAAAAAAAAAGAAAAATGAAAAGAAAATATTAAATTGTCTAGGTTAAGGTTGGATGTTCTATTTCATCGATTAAGATTTAAGACTTAATTGATATAATTAAAATATTTATGACTAAATAAGAAAAAATGTAATAAATTTATAACAAGCTTCTTCTTTTTTAACACTTTTCCCCAGCATAGCGTCGAAGAGTCTGCCTCGATGCCGCCTCCTTCTTCTTCTTCTTCATTTGCGCGGACTGCAGTGTGACCGTGTGAAGGAGGAGCAGAGGGAAGATGAGAAGGAGGTTGGTTGAGGTGTGGAGGTCGGGGCGATGCTTTCCCAGCTCCTCCGCTCTCCTCTCCTCTCGTCGCGTACGAAACTTCAACTTTCAACTTTCAATTGCTTCGCTTTGTTTTCTAGCTCGCTGCCCTCGTATGCGATCGAAGAATTAGAATAGCTGTAATCGTTCTTCGACGTGGGCAGATTGTTGTTCGTAGGATGCATACTGCGGTCCAGCATCTTCTGTGTCTTATCCCATGTTCGTTTGTGTTGTGTTGTGTTGTGCAGAATGCTGGATCCGCCCCCTCGGTCCCGCTTCAGCAAGATAAGATGAAACAGTTACGTCTCCCAGGTGATCATCCCTGAATGAGTCTCTCCAATGGAGAGACGGTGTAGGAGTTGTTCTGCTGATGTGTCAGATTGTGTACCTATCGTCTCCCTCCAGGATTTTGCCGTCTGCTAGCGGGGTGTTTAACATACTAGATTCTAATATCTTCTTTGCTGACTTTACCAATTGTTCTCTTCCCCTGCTTCACTGTTGCTGCGGCGAAGTTTGTGACTCTAGGCTGGAGATTTGTCGTGAGCACAATTTCCATCCCCAATCCTAGTGTAATAAATCCACGATTGATGGACTTTTAGTTCATAGGTTGTTGTCGAGATTGTGTTATTTTATTGTCTAATGCATCATCCTTTTGGCTAACATGAAGATCTAGTAATTGGTTTCCTTGGATATCCATGGCATTACAAATACAAGATGAAGAACCTTGCCGCTGCCATTCTTTAGCGTCGGAGTTCGTGTCCTGATGTATCAACTTCCTTCTTTTTTGAAGGGACGGCCGGGGATTCTCTTATGGTCTTAATTGGGCTTTGGCTGGAAAAGGTGTAATTGTGAAGGATAAAGCTTTTCATAATTCGATGGTTTCTGAGCTGCATCAGAAAGGTGCAACAGTTGTGGGTAAAGCGGTTGCATCTTTTGCATCAGTACCATTTCTCTCTTTTCTCACCTCATATGTTTTCATCCTCATATTTTCTCTTATCTCCATGAAGAGTCCTTATCTGGCCTTCCAGTTCTTGTAAGAGGAACGAGCGGAGGAGCTTCAGAGTTTTCGAAGGCTCAGTCTAGTAAGCTTTTGAAGCAGGCACGTAAGATTTTAGCTCTTGGGTTTTGTCTTGATGATCCCTCCCTTTCTGTCCCCCTCTGCTTCTCTCTCTCTGACTTTGCTTTGTAGTCCAATTATGTGGTTGTTATGTCGAGACCTGTTCTTGTGATGTCAATTCATATCTTTTGCTGTTTTTTCATTCAGAATGCTGAATTGGAGTTTTATATGAACAGTATTATGGCAAGGACCAACAGCATAATGAGTAGGAAGCAAGTGACTCATTTTGCAAAATCGTGATTGGTTGCTCCACTTCAGGAAAGGGGCTGTATTGGTGGATGAAATGTAGCCACAGGAGTGCCAACTTTAGGGATTCTATTTTTTCAAACAAAATTTTTTTCTGTAGATGGAGCAATTTTTGGACTGTATTTTCAGATCTACAAGTAAAGAAGTGAATGTAGTCTTTTTCTACTCATTTTCAGGCAAATGTTGTTCTTACCACCGAACTTTTGCGAGACTTTGTAGCTTAGAAATCTTAAGAATTTTTTAATTATTCTGTCCTTTTAGCTCATTGGAGCTTTTTAAAAAAGGAGCCATCATCTGCCACCTCTTTATATTGCATAGATGTCACCGATTTGTCTAACCCAAGCCATGTCCATTCCTCCTCCGCCTGAAGGCACAAACCTTTGTAATCTTAGAAGAGTTTCTTTTTCTGTTGGAGTTTCATTACCTACCTCCTTGTCTGTACAGCATGGTCTACCCTTTAATTCCCTTTTTTTTTTTGGAAAAAGATTTGTATGCAGCAGCTTTGATCCGATTTTCTTGTCCGGCATTTGGGTCTTTTATTGTTCAATTGGCTTCATCCAGCATCGTTTGTTGGTTGGAGTAGCAGTTACTTCATATTCGTTCAAATGTGAGATCATGAATGGGCCATTTGTTTAATTTTTTTGGATTAATATGAATGCCGCAAAATTTCACATCATGTGATTATTTGTTTTTGTGGTCTAACACTTAATTGTATTGATGTCATCAGATCTGTTCTCACATCTCATCAATCTCCAACATTTATGTCTATGATGGGGCTATTGGTTCCTCGCCCAAATGCGATGCAAAAGTCCGTGTCATAAGTGATAGTCCCTCTGCTATACTATCTTTATCCAGTGTCCTATGGAAGACTCCCGTACGTGCAGTTTCCCATGATTCTTGTCCTTTGACAATTTATGTTGCCATGTCCATAAGGTATGCACAATTTGAAGTTTATTTCTCTATAGTTTTGAATTGCTAAAAGAATTAAGAGTTTGGTCATTTAGTAGCATTTGGATCTTCCTCACGTTTGTATTTAAGTGACAGGCATCAATGGTGTTGGAATTTTCTCCTCTTCTACTGATGATGAAAAGTAGTTCTATTTGTTATAAACTATAGCCAATCAGCATTGGATAGTCTAAGGTTCATATGGTTATATGTTTAATAGATTCATGGATGAAATTTAGGGTCAATCAATTAAAATTATCTTCTTAAGATATCAGAATTAACTTTCCACTCCTAGATTCCTTTTGACATGTTCTTGGCCCAAAAGGCTGGTTGACCATCAGCAAAATGCATCGGTTCATGTAAAAGAGACATTTAGCTTCTAGACAGAACATAAGTTGAAAATGTTGAAATTACAATTAAAAGCATCAAGCTATTCTAAGGGGGCTCTAAGAGTCCAGAATAACCGATAACTAGGAGTCCCAAATATGTTCTTTCTACCTTAGTTCATAGTGTAAGTATGCAAATTTTTATTATGCAAATCTTTATTAGGTTTCCCTATTGGTGTAGCTTCTGTGCTAGAGCCTTTCTGGGGAACTTAAAGGGAACTTGTTTCGTAAATAGTAAACTACTGTAAATATTTAAAATGAACTACTGTACATTTTATTTTTTTTTTGGTAAGGCTGTACATTTTATTTTCCTTCAATTGCATCTCTAAAACCTAAATCAGCTTTTTATGCACTTTGTGAGTTCTAATAATGATCCCTCTGACCCTGCAGTTTGAGTGTGGGCTCCAATATCAGTCTTGATCCTAAAGGCCATGATGGATTTATAGCAGCTGATGTTGAGAGGTCATCCGTTGTTCTAACTGGTAAAGCCTTTGCAGATATAGTTGGAGTTAAGGAGGCATTAACTGCTGTATCTGAACCTATCATATGTGCAAGGGGAGGCCTTCCTCTATCAGCAAGGTAAAGATTTTCATTTACTGTAGAGCTTACATGATTGATGTTCGTTCTGCTGTATGATTTGCATCTGAAGTCCATGAATTGCAGGCTTCTAGTGCATGGGTATAATGTGGTTCTCCTATTTGCCCCTGAGGCTCCTATCGTGAGCTGCAAAGACCAGTTAGAGTCTGCAGATGCTGGCCTAATTGTCTCTTCTGAAGGCACTGCACTACTCTTTCCAACTGGATATTCTGATGGCCCTAATGTATACAAGATACCAGATGCCATTGTCCTGGCATCGTCTGACAGGTAAGACAAGTCACCTGCATAAGACTAAGATAGGTTTTTTTTTGGGGACAGAAACCTGCATAAGACTAGGATAGTTACATAATGCTTTTCGCCACCGCTCCACTTTCTGGAGGCAATATTTATAATATCTCTTTGGAAAATTAAATTTGATCAGTCTAGCATCAATTTATTGTTCATCCAAATTGATTGGTAGTTTGTGAGTGATCCGCAAAAATCTGCCTGTGGCGGACCGGGGGCGGGGGAAGCTTAGGATGGCCTCCGGTACACAGTTGATTGTTTGTTGCCAGCAAATTACCTTGTCTTTTCTGCATTCTTCTTTTTCAAAATTGAGAATGCACCTGATGAATGACTGAAAACAAAGAGCCCTCTGAGAAAGTATCTTTCCATGAAATCATTTCTTTGTGTTCATGATGCCCAAAAGCTATGCGTTGTGGCTTTTTTCCTCTTAAATTTTCTACCTAGTTAACCGTGTACATGTTATAGTTCCTTAATTAGTTGTTTTCTATTCCTTTTTTCCTTTTCCTTTTCTATCGGATTATTCCTTACAGTTATCGTTACATGATTGTTCCATCTAATCCTTATATCAATTATTAAAAAATGCATACTCTTTTATTTTAGTACTTAATGAAAACTTTCTTTTATGATCTTCTAGCATAGGCCTTCATTGACCATTTCAAATGCCCAACTAATCTTCTTAACATGTGATATCTTGGAATTACAAGAAATTCCGTGGTCATTAGTTGATCGTGAGTGTCGACTTAAATGGTCATGTTTTCATTATATAAAATTTCAAGCCATCTGTATCAATTTACAAAATCAAATGTGATACATGAATGTGAATGTAATCTGAAGTGTTGGACTGCTATATCATGCCAATTGGAAACTGTCTATATATTCCTCATCTTTTAATTAAAGTGTTTCAATAAATGATTCTTGATACTTACTTTTGGTGTGGAAATTAGTGCTTACATTGGGTCTGCGAGAATTAGGTGACAGGGTATCCTTTGAAGTTGTCATGTAGGACGAGTTCCTACTGTGAATGGATCTGTTATCAAAACACCCAAAAATGTGAGGGTTGTATCAGTGATGTATAGATAACTTTCCCAAGACACTCAATTTTCTCTTTTTGTTTTCTTACCTATGAAGCTAAATCAGTACAATGTAATTTGGCAAGCCCCCGGGCAATATTCTAGGTCAGCCGCTGGTTCCTGCTCTTGTTCTGAGGGTGAGAGATGATTTATCTTATGTAGTTGACCATCATGTTGCTCTCGTTGGTGCCTAATTATGTTTGAACCATCAAAGGTGAAAGTTTGTTGAAATATATTCTCACACCACATTAGGCCATGTTGCTAAATATGCAACAAGAGCAACATGATGGTCAACTTTCTGAAAGGTCAATGTTGAACTTCACAGCATATGCCTCTTGACCCCCGCTCTTGCTTTTCCAACTTTTATATGTAGAAGATCCATGTGTGTTGCATGCATTTATTTTTACCTCCGCCGCATTTTGATTTCTCTACCGTTGATGTGCCTAAATGTGTTGGCATTGGTTTTACTTTGCTTCCCAGTACTGGCACTCTCCCTCCTTCGTCCAAGCTGACCCCTGAGCAAGCAGCTTATCATTTCTTAGCTGGCTATCAAAATGGGACTTTTACACCTGTCTTCAGCAAAGGTTCATCTGTCAATCCATTAGAACTTGCAAAGGCTCTTCTAGCCAAGGTTATATAGTACTCTCTCTCTCTCTCTCTCTCGCTCGTGTCCAAATAACTGATTTATTTCAAACTTTAACTTTCATTGCAATTTTTCTTAATTGCAGCTGAAAGACAACCAGATCTCATGTTTTCTGGTTAATGTCAGTGCAGGAGAGAAGGCTCCACTAGGTAGGGATGAACCAAGAAATAATTCAAAATGGCTGACGAAAGATATCTAAACTAAGGAAACATCTGCTTTGTTGTGTGTGTCCAATTAAATGTACACTGTCTAAAAACCTATAGTATTGCCCATTTTGAAAGGCATTTATCTCTCCATTCTTTGTCTTGTTGATTTGTAGATTCAGTCTGTATGATAGATATGTAGATAATGATTGTGATTAACTGAATGAATAATGCCCACAATGGAAAAACACAGAAATATTATCGAACCCCTTTCACGGGATGTTATTTGAAATAGTGAGTTGTGGATGTGTTATTTAGCCTAAGTAGAGAGTGGTTCATTTCGTTTACTCTTTATGGTCAGTAATTCTCCTTAAGCAATTGTTCCAATGGGGAGAGTGCTTATTTGGAGTCACACTGCTCAATTCTAGGTAACGAATTCATGAAGTTGGTGCAATCAACTCTATCCAAGAAAGTTCTACCCTTTGAGCCTAAAGGTAGGCCTGCAGTCATTGATCTGTCAAACTCTTGTTCATTTGGCCTGGAGACTTATTTGGTAGTTTTTGCAGGAGGATATTTGAAAGCAAAATACCAGAGCTTCTTGTCAGCCAAGTTTCCGGAGAAACCCGAAGAATTTCGCTTCTAAGAGAGTGAAGGCCCTGTCAAAATGTAGCTTCGTTTTCTTGAGTCGGTGGTTGTAGCTTTTGTACCATCAAACGTGATTTGTGTACATATATATATGCCCACGTTTCATTCCTTCGGGCCTATCAAGCGAGTTTGATGCATCTTCCATTGCTTTTAACGAGTTAATTGCAATTTGTAAAGTACTCTCATTCATTTGCTACCATCACCTCTATTGCCACCTTATCGAGCATATTTGAAGAAGAAATAATTCTGAAGAGTCCAGCAAATTGGAAAAATAGGTCTGAAACAGTTTCACTAATTAAAATAAACAATCGAGAAGATAAAAAAGGAATTTGTCGCCCCTAACCAATAGCAACTGGAAAATTTGTCGCCCCTAACCAGTCAAAGCATGTGCTATATGCATCGAGTTTATTTGATAATTGATGGAGTAAATTCATATTGCAGTTAGGAAGGGAACAATATCTTATTCAAGTAAAGAAGTAACTTTGTACTCTATAATCTTTTCATTCACTTTTAACATTATTGAGGATGCAAGGATATCTCCCTGTGGATTCCACCGTTTTAACGCATCAAAGGTCACTTGGAAGCTTGACATGCAACTTCCCCTCCATGTCTTTGACATGTAACTTTTGCAACCACTTTATTATTCCCTTTTATCTTTTCAAAGGGAAAGAAGATTCGTGTGTGTGGACAGATTACTTACAACAAATCTGCCGATATGGGTAAGGTGAGATGGTTCGATATAATAGAAGAAAAACAGTGAGTAGTTGTACCAAAGGGTACTGTTGAGGTGGGCAGAGCACATGGGAAGATAAAATGATTGATCAGCGTAGGACCCTCCCCCGAACAACATGTTCGCTTGAAATTCAAGGAATTGCAAATCATAATCATTTGTTTAAGCAAAGTAGTTGGTTAGGCAAATTGGCAGGAAAACTAACAAGGATGCATGACATCCTTAGAGAACTTGAGAGCCGCAAATCATGTTAAAGCTGTCAATCACTCGCTCGCGCGGACACTGAATGAATGGTGCAAATACAGGGGTTACCATCAACTCATCAAAAAAGGTTATGTGAATCCCGCGAAAGAACATCTAGGGTAAAGAACAATTTGCCCCGTAACAACTCATGGTCAGCAGGAAACCAATATCTCAAGGCAATCGCGAGAACGGGAAAAAAAAAAACAGAAACCAGAGCGTTACGACTTCATCTCCTGTTCAAATGTGCTTTTTCTGGTCCACTGTTTTCTCAAAGGGCAATCCTCGCTACACTAGAATACAAACAGCGAACAGCGAACCATTTAGGATTCTCATGGTATTCTTGTATCCTGTGAACAAAGAGAGACTCGGGGGGGGCGGGGGCGCGGGGGCGGCGAACGAAAAGAGAACCAAATGTTGGAAACAACAAAAGTTCTACGCAAACAAAGAAAATTTTTTATACACCACCATGAATAGAACCTTTGGAGTTCTCTCTGACATTTTAACATGCTTTTACCTATGTAGAACAGTGCAAAGCACACAGCAAGTACAATCTGTGACTCTACAAACACAACAAATGATTTCATCTTGTGACAGGGCAGACAAGCACAGTAAAGTTCAATACGAAGATCACCACTCCAGCAAGGCTCGTGTTTTTTTTTTCAGCAGGAACAGGACATTTGAGGGAAGACTAGAATCAATCAGGACATACGCGATTCCCCCAACCAAAGTGAAGCAAAAAGGAAACAAATGACAAAACCTGCAATCACACACCCCTTGGATGCTTAGCTAACCTGACAATGGAAACTAAGAGAATGTAATTGAGCAGATCCAGATGATAGCTGTATCTGATCTGCCCGTCTCCCGGTGAGGACAGATTCAGTTTTTTTCCTTTATTTCGGATTGCTTGCACCCTTCTTTTTGAGTAAACTTCCGAACTTGCGGAGCAATGGTTTCTTTTTCTTGGGAATTTGCTGCTTGGATGGTGAACTTCCATCATCATCAATGTTCTCTGATGAGTTTGTCCCGTTTATCTGATCGAAGCTCTCACCACCATCAGCCTTCAAGTCCGCTTCCTCTTCGACCGATTCTTGCTCTGGTTCTCTCTCTGGTGAAAACTCTTTCTTCTCGATTTTGCAACTCTCCCACATCTTGTATTCGACCTCTACTGAATCTTCTTCTTTTTCCTTGCTCTCATCCTCTGTTTTCCCATTCATACACTCACTTTTGGCCACAACCATTGGATCAGACACATCCTCTGACACATTATTCTGTTCCGGGGAATTTTCCACCCTAGATTCTTCATGTTTTGGTGGAATCTCCACTATGTGCTTTTCTTCTCTCCCATGTCCATTCTCCTCAGAGAATTCAACCACCTTCGGAAGCAAATCATAATCCTTTTCACTGTCCGAGAGCTCACCATTTTCCTCGCTGTGATGTTTCACCCTAGCTTCTTCAAGAAGCTTAGATAACTCGTCGGCCTTCGCAAGAGAAGCAGCTTCCCTAGTCCGAAGCTCCTCATTATCTTGAAGAAGACCCTGCAACTCATTTTCTTTGTCCAGTAAGCTTTCCTTCAATTTCATGCTCTCAGCCTTTGCTTCTCCAAGAGCTTCCTGTAAGTAAGTGACCTCAGCTTCGGCTTTGTTCAGGCTACCCTTTAGCAGAGCTTCTTCTTGATTTGCAGCACCAGCTTTTTCTTCAGCCTGTTCAAGCAAATTTAACAGCCTATCTTTCTCTTTTTGCAAGCAGTTCTTTTTTTCTTCTGACTGCTTCACACAGTCCACCAGATGAAGTTCCTTTTGCTCCCACTCTGCCTTGGAGTTCTCGTAGTCATTCTTGGATTGTTCGACAGCAGCTGCAAGAATATCCATTTCATGTTTTGCATCATCAAGCATAGTTTCATATTTCTCATTTGTCGCTTTCAAGACCAATTTAAGATCCTCCATCTGGGACTCACAGTTTTCATACTCAATTTGAATGCACACAAGCTTCTCTTTCGTATCCCTTGCTTCAGCAGAAACTTCATGCAAGGCTGAAGCTAAACTTTCCATCGCCTTTTTGCTCTTCTCTTCTTCCTCCTTGGAAATTTTCAAATCACTGACGAGTTTGGTTTTCTCTTCCAACAGACTCTTAACATCAGAAGCTGCAAGTTTCTCATTGTTCACAGCTCGAGTTTTCTCTTCCTTCACAGTATTAAGCTCAGTTCTAAGAGACTCGATCATTTTTCCCATTTCCGAGTTTTCTTGCTTCACCTCATCAAGGCGATGTTCTGACTCCTGCAGATCTCCCGTTTGTTTTCCAATCGTCAGTTCCAGCAAACCCACCTTCTCTTTAAGAGCAGCAACTTCGGATTCAGCATCATGAAGCAGATCATTGCTTCCCTCTAACTGTTTCATCACAGAAGTCAAAGATTCTGATGCTGATCGCTCCAACTTATTAGCCTCCTCTACACTTATCTCCAAGTCCTGGACCTTGATTTTCCATTCTTCCACTAGACTGCGTGCATAAGACTCGGCCATCTTTGCAGCTTCTAGCTCAACATTAAGTTGCTCAATAGAAGCTTCTCTTTCCGCCAACTTCTCCTCGAAGCCTTTCGCCTTCTCAAGTTCTTCTTTCAGAGAGTTAATTTCTTCCTTGAGCTGTGACACCATTTTGTTGTTTTCACTGGCCTCCGTTTCAAGCTTTGAATCAAGCAAAGTTTTCAATCTGGTCAGCTCGGCCGAGAGAATCTGCACCTTCTCTACATGTATCTCAGCAATTTTAGTTGCATCATCAGCATGGCTCAGTGCCTGGTTCTTGGCATCACAAGCCATGGCCAGCTCATGTTGAATCCTCTGGAGCTCCTGAGAAGTGGAGAGAAGAGCAGCCACATCCAAGGCATGTTGGTTTCTCACAGCTTCAAGCTCTCTCTCCCATTCTTCTTCCTTCTTCTGAGCAGCCTCGATCCCTGACTGCTCCAACTCAATAGCCCTGAACTTTTCAATTTCTGAACTCTCCTCGGCTCGCTTCTGTGCCACCAAAGCATCCCTAAGCTTTTCATTAGCATCTTCAGCTGCCTTTTGTGCTTCCTTGAGTTCCTCGAGAGCTTTTGCCTTCTCCTTCTCAATCAAAGCCACGTGTTCCTTTGCTTTCTTAAGTTCATCTTGAGCAAGATTTAATTGTGTCTGCACTTCAGAGGTCTTCAATACCCTTGAGGCCGGTTTCTGGAAGCACATAGAGAAAAAGGGCTTGTTATATTAGCTCGGTCCTAAAGAATGAATGGTTAAGCCATGTTCAGTGTCTTCCGAACAATTTAATTGCAAACTTCGAGCATTTGCACCAAATAGTAGACCTTGGGCATGTGCGGTGCCATTTTACAATATTTACAGCATGACTAGTAGTAGTTGCACATTGTTCCAGAAGCAGCCATTTATTCAGAATCATCAGATGGGTCTTTGCTGCTCTTTGAGGAGAAATATAGGAAAAAAGTTTGAAACAGTTCCGAATGCTACTTTGTAGAAACTGTACAGGGTGCTGCGAATTTGGAAGTAAAGGAGTAGGCATCCGTAGACATTAAACAGAACATTCAAAGTAAAGGACTTGTTGACTTACATCAGGTGGAGTGACGAGCTTGGGGGAGCGGCGATCAACTGTGGGTTTAGAGGTGACAGTGCGCGGGGAGCGATCAAACGAGAGGCGTGGATTGGGGGATGGAGTGGATGAATCAGGCTCCGCTTTTGTCAACCCACGACCCAATTTGCTAACTCTTGGAGTTGCTGGGGAAGCTTTGCTATGGGGAGTTTCCGACGAAGTGGATCTGCCGAAAATTCAAACTTCAGAACTAAATACAGAACAACATCACGAATTTAAAGGTGCCAATGAGAATGCAGCACAGTATTAGCGTATGGATCTAGTTGCAACCAGCTGTGGGAACTTGAAGCACCAATTGGACGAAGCAGCCCAAGTAAACGTTAGATAAGAGAACCGAAAAGAAGCAAACTTTACAAGATCGGCATTTGGAAACCATGACCCAGATCCAATCGGGAGTCCTAGAACAGCATACTAATCACTAAACCAAAGGGCAAACAGAGGAAGTCGCCAAGAAGTGAGGCCGGAATATGGAGAGCACAATTCCAGATCTAGTCACAGAGATAGATCAAAGAGAGAGGACACTTACTTGGGCTTGGAAGACATAGCTGAGGAGGGAGAAGGGTAGAAATGGTGGGAGAGTAAGCAGAGGATGTTGCTGTCAAAACCAAGAAAGGAGGTGCTACTCTTGTCCGAGTGTTAGAATGCCCACATTGCAAAGCTCGCGTCTTTCTTCTGTCTGGTGTTTCAATTAAAAATGAGACGAGGGCAGTTCAGAGATCAGGAGATGCAAGCGACTCTTTTTACAGCGGGCATGGCATCAGATGGAGGAGGAGGAGGAGGAAAGGGAGAGCAAGAATTTACATACGAACGACTTGACACCAAAAATTGGTTGGCTTGATTGTAACTTCTTCTTCTTCTTCTTCTCCTCTGCTTTTTTTGTTAATCATAATAATAAATAATATCTTATCTCGGGTTGTGTCTGCGGACCCATCAACGACAAAGCCCAAGATACAGATGCTCATACATACACACATCATCACATGGAATGGCAACATACTCTGTCATTCACGCAGCTTCTCGAATGGACGCAACTGCCCCTCCTTTTCTTTCGTTTCCTTATGCATGTCCCCAAAACTAAAGCGAGGTCAGTGACCCTGTTTCTCATAGGCAGAGCTCAAAAAGAGAGAGAGGACCCCCTCTCTCTATCCACTTCTTTTCTGCAAAAGCAGACAAGAGTCATGCCGGGTCTTCCTCTCCTCCCATGATTTTCTCACTCCCTTCCGTCCTTTTTCTCCTTTTTCTCTTTTCTTTCCTAACTCATCATTTCCTTATTTCAAAAACAAATGGTGTGTTTTTATAAACTCACCCAGAGTTTTCCTCGGAGATGGCCACAGTTGCCCTCAACAATCTTCTCATTTTCTTTCATTACTTGACTAACTCAGTGGGGAAAGACACACTCAAAAATAATAATAATAATAATAAGAGGAGAGAAAAATCGACCCTCTTCATGTGGTAATCCTTTAACCCCCTCCACAGTCAAAACTTTGATGCAGCATTTCGGGGCACCGGAGAATGTTAAGATAGTTCCCATCCGTAATTTCTGTAATGCTAACATAACTGTGGTCGGTAAATCCCGAATTATAGATATCACCCGCATGCTGACAAACTGAACATGGAAAAATTACATATATAACCGAAGGAAATTTCCTCTACGAAAACATGACCCGTGACGTAGCTACGGTCTTTGCCTAAATAAATTTTCACTTTTTGACCTTTGAAGTTGTCTTTTTGCATAATTAGCCACCAAAGTTCTTACTTTACAAAAATCTACAAAACCAATCTACCAGCATTTCATCGACATTCCTCCGCTAGTAAGTCTTCGAAAGAAACATTTTTCCATCTTGCTTTATGGGGGAAGCCGTCCACCAGCGCTTCTTACAACATCCGTCCTAGTTAAGTCATTAAGTCATCCAATAAAAAACGTTTTAAAAACGTGTAGAGAAATGAACTTCGCACATTTCTATTTACATTACTTCAAGAACGATAAATTTTACATTTCATAATTAGATATTCCTTTTGTTTCTCGACATCCGCTGCACCGCACTGGGATCAGTCTCCTGACATGACAGGTACAAAAGAAGAAGCGGAAGAAGAATAATGACAACATGGGAATGTAGATATAGTCGTTATTTAATGTGGAATGATACTTGGCAAATCTCGTCCGACTGGTCCGAGCTGTCCCACTTCAGATCCATGTGCCCAACTTCCACGCTAGAAAACTGAAACCTCGATCTCAATGCGCTGCCTCTTCCTTCCTTTCGTACAATTTTGTATTTTAATCGTCCCGTTCCAAACCCATTCTTGGGAAGGCGAAGTTTTGCAGACTTGTCGGGTCGTGTCTTACCATTTCCAAAGGCTTGATTCACTCCAAAAGGAAAAGAAAAAGAGGCTAAAAACGATCATGTGGAGAATTCGTGGCAATCAGTCACGTCGAGGAGCAACCATCAGTCCATTCTTTAAACTATTATGTTGATCGCGGACAGGAAGATGCAGCAGCTATAGATCCAACGCCCTGTTTAACAGGCAAACAAACACGCAACCCACACCTTCACTTCCACCAACTTATATGTTTACTTTGATCCGAAGCCTCCGCCAGCTCAAATGAAGGTTTAACATCAAGCAAGTAAGCCCAAAGGGATGATAACAGTTAGCTTTAAATACGAGCTAGCCAGCACCAGAACGATCTAGAGTAACTTCAGTTCTCCCAACACCCCAATAATCGCCATCAATCTATAAAAGCAAAAGGTAAGGGACCATCTCGTAGTTGCTGCCATTTCCTCATCAAGCAACAGTACAAGGAACTGACCCTCTTGCACAATCCCACGTACATACCGAAGCCATCGTTTTGTTGGATCCCCAATGTCCACTTCAGAGGTTGATTTTGCGCCTTCTGATGACCCAGTTATTGAAATATAACAGACGGTTTAGGCAAAGATGCCTGCTTTTTAAAATGTCGGTAAATTTAAACCTGCGTAAGTGTGCCGCGCCAAACTCCATAAAAGAAGTAAAAGGAAAGGCGTGAGGAATCTCACTTAAAAATTCATCAGCCAGACACAACACAAAACAGTCCGACAGATATCCGTGTCCTCAATGTTTGCCTCACAAGTTCATGCTGACATCAACTAAAAAGGGATTCAAAACCATTCGAAGAAATTGAGGTGCGTCATTTGACCATGGACGAACCCTAACCCTAACCCTACTGGGAGACCCCTGCCCCGTCTCTCCCAGATGACATTTGTTTCCATGCTCGCTTGATCACGTCGGTCCTTTCACTCCCACAAGCGCATTCCCCCCACAGCCTTTCATTTGAGGACACTCTTGCAGCCACTACATAGATGGTGCTGCCCAAGTATGCATGTGGCAGATGAAGACATTATGTCCCACTTGTCGACACCGTCAAATTAGAGCACGGGAGATGACATGCGATTGATGCATGTCTTCAGCCAACCTTGTCTCCTCACAACCCGAGCCACTTGATGGGTCAGAGTGGAATAGGCAACAAAACAGCCGATTTTGCTGGGAGGGAAATTCAAAATTGATGCTAAAACACCATTGCAGGATTAAGATGGGTGTATGCGCGTGTGTACAAAAGGAAAGGAGATTCTTTGAATATCAAAAGAAGCACAACTAGCTACTTTCTTTGGCCTCTGCAGCTCGGTAGATGTTGAATGTACACAGACATGAAGCATATTCAGGCATCTGAAAAGTCCTTCAACGATGTGCGAGCAGAATAGGGAAGTGGGGATGGAGATATGTTGGGGACCGACCATGCTTAGCGAGATCCATCCGTGCCCCTATGTGATCGGTCGTCTTAATCATCATCATAAGAGACGTGGGTGCTAGTCGTGCAGCCAGGAGCTTCGGGGTCCTCAGCACCGCAACAGTCGTAGAACTTGGCAGCATAAGGGGGATCATCAGGTCCCAACTCGTAGTACCTTCAACAGCAGAGAGGATGCAGAAAACTATTAACCCCCCAGCTTGGAGCAACTACCGTATTTGCAGGGGAGACGCATAATCATGGAATCAATTGCAATCCCAGTCGCAAAAACATGAATATCCACAACGCAACTTGTTCCTAGGTAGTCACCGCCAGTTTCAGAAAACCGACAAAGGCGACGATTTTCCATCTCATCCGACAGTTACGTAGGAACCCATTGGAACCCTAGGCTAGCGGAGGATCAAAAAGGAAAAGAAGAAGAAGAAGGGACCTGCGTTGGTCGTCGTGGCGACGGGAGACGAAGAAGGAAGGGTGAAAGCGGCATGCGGAGGAATGGTTAGAGGAAGGGGCGTAGCTGTGCTTGCACCTCTTGCACGTCTTGGCCACCTTCTGTTCGTCCCCCTCTCCCTCCGTCGTCTCCTGCTTCCAAATCTCCGCCATCGAGCGATCCAAGTCGACGGGCAAACTCCAGATGAAGGGGGTCGGTCCTGTGGAGGATGACTGTTAGGGAAGGGGGTGGATCATATGATTCAGATTCATGGTTCAACACTCCATTATTGAATGGGCCCTGTTCTGTTCTTATCAAAAAGCCCACACTCCGCATCCATGTCTCGTTTTCACTTTCACATTGTATCGTGTTAATAAGAAGTCAGTCGGTCCAGTAACACTCCGAATTCTTTCGAGTTATCAATATGTCGTCGTTCGCCGCTCCCCCCCAATTCTATCCACCCAAAAATCAAAGAGCAGTAGGGAGAGACGCAGAGGTTTTGGTGGGTGGATGGAGATGGTTGCTTCTCCATCCCCGTCTTTGCCCTGAGCCTTCCCCTGTAATTCCCTCCACCCCCTGTTTCGTTTCGTTTCGTTTCGTTCCAGTATTATTACGATGATGCCCACCACCACCACCACCACCACCACCACTACGACGCTGAAGCATCTCTCCCTCCTCTCTCCTCCTCCTCTCCATTCGTTCCCTCCTATCTCCTCTCTCCTCCTCCCTTCCCCTCTCCCTTTATACCCTCGTCCCCCTCGTCCCCCTTCCCTCCCCTCCCTTCGCTCTGCCTCTCGCGTCCCCGACAAACGTCTTCAGGTTGCTCTCATGTCCGCTTTCACGGCCCCCCCGCCACATGGGTTTTCCCCATCCGCCGCCTCCTCCTCCTCCTCCTCCTCCTCCTGCTCTTGCTTTCGGGGCGACAGAGAACGCCCGTCGGATTCTGCTGCTGCGGACGACGACGGAGATGAGGACGAGGAGGAGGAGGAAGGAGACTTGGCTTTCCATGTCAGGGACGGCAGCATGAGCACGTCTCCCTCTGCCCTGCCCGACAGATGGGATGTCCTGGGCCTTGGCCAAGCCATGGTTGGTTCCCTCTCTGCTTCCCCCCCTTACTTTTCCCGCTCTTGTATCTGCTCATGTGCCTTTTCTATTGCTTCTTTAGGTGGATTTTTCGGGAATGGTGGATGATGCTTTCTTGGAGAGATTAGGACTGCATAAGGGTACCCGAAAGCTGGTGAACCACGAGGAGCGGGGCCGAGTGTTGCGCGCCATGGATGGCTGCAGCTACAAAGCTGCCGCCGGAGGTTCTCTCTCCAATAGCTTGGTCGCACTGTCGAGGCTCGGCACTCGGACCATTGGAGGTCCTCCCTTGAGCATTGCTATGGCTGGTAGTGTGGGGAGCGACCCTTTGGGTGGATTTTATAGGTCTGGCCCTCATCTCTTTCAAAATTCAAACTTAAACAATCCTTCTCACCTTTTTTTACTCGCAGAGTGGCTTCAAATCAATTCCCTATCAATTTGAACGTTCCTTTTTAATTGTTACCAGGGCAAAATTGCGTCGAGCAAATGTTAACTTTCTATCTGCACCTGTCAATGATGGGACAACAGGGACTGTGATTGTTCTCACAACTCCCGATGCTCAGCGTACTATGCTTGCATATCAAGTAAGACATGATTCTAATGGCTCTCCATTGACAACTTCTGAAAATAATATGATTGTTGCCACGTCTCTTGCTGATGTATTTGCGCAAATTGATGATTGATGCTTCTCTTAGAGAATGCAATGTCTAGTTGTGCATTTTAGCCGTCCAGCCAAAAAGTCTACGTCTCTGATACAGCAGTTCAATATCTTGGAGTTTTTGGCCTAAACTTGGAGACATCAGTCAAAGATGTTGATTGATTGCAAAATCTAAATTTTTTTTTGCCTTTGATGGAGGATTCATGCTTTGTTCCTATAATGGTTTGCTTATTTTCTCTTCATCTCTGGTCTCACTCTGTCCCTAACCCAACAATGAAGATCCATGTAAAAGGGAAAAACTGATGGCTGCTTAGGAGATGCATATAACTATCTAAGGACCTAAATTTGTGCTTTTTCATTTTGTGGTAATTCTTCCGATAACATATTCTTTCCTACTATTGTTCTCTTTCCTTCAATGAGCCAAGCCTTATCATCCAATTTAGTCAAACCCTACCTCATCTTTTTGCTTGGCATAGGTAGATAAAAACCAAAAGCTGTTGTTCTCAAGCGACATGGGTGAAAAGGAAAATTGGCAGAACTAAGTTTTACTTTTAACTCGGATAACTTCTAACACGTCAGATGAAACTGAGAGCATAGAGGTCACTTTACTGATAGTAATCAGGGGTAGGCTTCTTCTCATCGTATAGTGAAACAAGATAGAAAAGTTAAAAATGAAAAACAATATTGGGCTTACACATGTAAAAAAATTTAGAGTGTGCAGGAAACATAGGCAAAGTATTAAAATATTTGATGGGTTGAGTCTTAGTTGTAAGATCTATTAAGATGAGGCATAATCTACTATGCAGCACTACTTCAAGAAGAATGATTTTGTTTTTGAGATGACACGTAACTAAGGCATAAGGGAATAGCCTGTTTGTTGTTCTGGAGATTGTGGGCACTGGCCAAGACCATGAGCATCCAAATATGGTGCTATTCATTTTGTGCAGGGTCTTTTCCTTTTGCTGTCAAATCATCAGAAGATGGATTTTTGAGTTTAGGATTTCAGCTGGCAGAAATCTAACTTGTATGAGCTCTGGAAGGGCCTTGTAAAGTTGTCTTATTTATCCTGCTTAGTGTTCCATGTACCGTTTAGAGCTATTTCCTGGATTTGGATCTCGTTTTGTGTGCTGCTGATGGTAAATCACTCCTTTACTATTGCCTTTCTTTTTATGTGGTCAGGGCACGTCGTCCTCTGTTAACTATGATTCATCCCTGGCTGGCATGGTTTCCAAAACAAATGTCCTCATCGTTGAAGGTTATTTATTTGAACTCCCAGATACCATCAAAACCGTAGTAAAAGCATGTGAAGTAGCACGCAGGGGTGGTGCTTTAGTTGCAATAACTGCCTCTGATGGATCATGCATCGAGAATCACTACGATGATTTCTGGTAAATTCACTTGCTTTATTGACCTTCTATTTGCTATCTTGAAATTTTTCTGGCATCGTATGTTTGAAGAGTGTACCCATAAAAGCTGTTCGTATTTGCTCGTCCTTTTAGTTGTTTTTGGGTTTTCCACACAGACAGTTTCCCATCCTTCTTGAGGGAGTCGGAGGAACTCTCTTTTCCAACAACTAAGGACTGGGGAACTGTCGGAGCAACTTTTTCCCCCCCAATTTTGAGCGTGTTGCCAATTAAGTAGCGTTTTATATGAAATCCAATCATCAGTGGTCATGGTAGATTAGGTAAACTGGCTAAATGTGTTTCTTTGTTTGGCACATTCTATCCTTAGTGCCTGATATAGATGCGGACATCTCCATGCAGGGAAGTTGTTGGAGAGTATGCAGATATCGTGTTTGCAAATAGTGAAGAAGCTCGAGCTTTTTGTCACTTTTCCTCAAAGGAAAGTCCTGTCTCAGCTACAAGGTACCTGAGCCATTTTGTCCCACTAGTCTCGGTTACAGATGGCCCCCGGGGCTCTTATTTCGGTGTGAAGGGAGAAGCAATCTATATCCCTCCTTCCCCATGCATCCCGGTGGATACTTGTGGAGCTGGGGACGCGTACGCCTCGGGTGTCTTGTATGGGATTTTGCGGGGTGCATCTGATCTGAAAGGCATTGGCGCCTTAGCTGCAAGGGTTGCATCCACAGTCGTCGGGCAACAGGGAACCCGGCTTAGGGTCCAGAATGCTGCTGAATTGGCAGAGTCTTTTGCGTTTAATGTCGAGAGTTCTGGGATCCGGTCGGATGTTGCTTCTGATCATGTTTCGAGCTTGTAGCCTGGTGCTTGAGGCCATTTTCTTGATGATTTTTCCCAATGTCAATGGGATCTGTCATTGTTGATAGCAATGTATTCAAATGGATTAGGACATTCTTTTGATTTATATAAGTGGAGTTTTTTTTTTCTTAAAAGAGTTTATCTTAGTTTTGTGTTTACCCATCCTTGTTAATATAAACTGGATCGAAACTGAGCAGGCCTTTCAAGTATCACATTGTAATCAAATGAGGACACTCTGGTAAGGCTTCTGTTTCCTGAGTTGTAGATCGGCCGGGCTCGATGGAACTGAGTGTGGAAGGTGACTATATGGGCCGATGGCTTCGTAGATTGAATTTGTTAGAGACACGGCGCAATATGGTAAAAGTACTCTTATTCCAAGCATGCACTTTCGGTTGACTTAATCTTTTAGGATGGTTTCTTCTTGTCTTATGAACACGTGCTTATGACGTTGATGAACTTTTGGGCGGATGGCCTCCCGGGGTCAAAAGAGAAAAGGTTCTTTTTAAAATGTGATAACATGTAATTGACTTGATATTAAACAAGGAGAAAATACTGGGTCCATCCAATGTACCACGTACGTATATTCCAATGCCATTCGCCACGTGACACGTGTTGTCTACCATTTCTTTTGGTCAATTGTTGTCTACCAGTTAAGGGAGTAAGAAACTGAAAGAGGAACGGAAATAAGTATTGGTAATCCAAAAGTTTCGCCAAAATGTCGGGGCATTTTTACGCATAATCGACGTACCGTACCGACTTTAGGACGGGCCATCGTGGCTAAGTATCCATACATCATGATTAGGTGCAAGATGTAAAAGAGAAAGTCGCACCGTAGATGATTATGGTGCTCCCGATGCCACCTTACACAGCATTAGCAAGCGCCGTCGTAACGAAGAAAACACGTGTCATAAATTGTTTTACAACGTGTTTAGGTGCACGCTATTTGTCCAATTTAGAAATTTCCGTGGAGAAAGAAGGGGCAATGGGCCAAAGACGTTCGCCACTATTATATAATAAAGAAGGGGGACAAAGTGGTCAAGAATCAATCCCTCGCTTTCTCAGCCAGCCAAAAGCTGCCATGACATAAATCAAAACCCAAATAGAATGGAATCCCAAAAAGTTAGACAAAGACCGAAGCAGATTAAAAGTCTCCCATTCCATTCCATTCCACACCCTACAAATCATTCATCAATCCATCCATCCGTCCATAACCCAATCATCATCATCATCTCGTCCGAGAAAATATACGACTGACTGATCCATCGGGTGGGGGGATGGGGTCGGAAGCGAAGGAGGAGGAGGAGGAGGAGGTGGTGGTGGTGGTGTTCACCTACGGCACCCTCAAGAAAGGATTCCACAACCACCGGGTGCTGGAGGAGCTCATGGCCACCGGCGAGGCCTCCTTCCTGGGGAGGTGCCGCACCTCCATCAGGTACCCCCTCGTCTGCGGTCCCTACAGAGTCCCCTTCCTCCTCGACCTCCCCGGCTCCGGCCGCCGCGTCTCCGGCGAGCTCTACTCGGTCTCGTCGGCGCGCGCCCTCTCCCTGCTGGACGAGCTGGAGGGCACCTCTCGCGGGCACTACCAGAGGCGTCCCATCGAGGTGGTCGAGCTGGCGGAGGGGGAAGAGGAGGGAGAGGCGGAAGAGGAGAGGAGAAGGAGGAGGAAGACGAGGAGGGCGGAGGCGTACTACGCGGACAGCAGCTACGCGATGGAGATGTGGAACAAGTGTGGGAAGATGGGGTACGGGGGCTACACGGAGGAGGTGGCGCGTGGGTACGTGAAGCGTGGGGACAGGCCTCCCAACCTCTCCTTCCTCGACCACATTCGCTGCTTCCTCTCCTCCTCCTCCTCCTCCTCCTCCGCCGCCTGATTGCCTTCAGCGCCACTTTTTTGTCTCCTCCTTAGTCTCTTCCCTGCTCTACTCCATTTTTACAAAATAGACAAGAGCATCACGTCGAATTAGCTAGCAATAGAGTCTCTCTTTGGCACTCTTCTGTCGTCATGTTTCGCCGGCCTTTGACTCATCTCTTAGCTCAAATTTTCTTGGCACCGAGTTAATGAGGCATGACCTCATTTGCCAATTGCCAATTGGTGTTTTTGCTTTTTATATATTTGGAATGAGGATGATGATATCAAGTTTCACGCCAGCTCCTTTGCATATTTCTTCAAGACTATGCAACTCTTATATCGTGTCCTTTCCCCACACAATCATTCCCTTTTATTGCTTTCCAACGTGCAATGTTTTCGTTTTCCTTTCTTACCTTCTTCCTCTAGACACGGCCTGAGCTTTCTTCTTGGAACAACATTTGGCTCCTACCAGCAAAGTAGCTCCGTTGCGCCTTCCTCTTTTTTGGGGGTGATTTTCTATTGACTTTTCGCCCGCTTGTAACATTGTTGTAACATTGTTGATACATAATTACTCGCGAGAGCAACTGAGCGATATGTAACATTGTTGAAATGCAGAAGCGATATTTGTACTCAACTTTAGTCCACAGGGCGAAGACAAAAGAAAATATATCAAGTATCGGTCCAACGCATCTGCAAACTCAAAGATGCTGGCTGTTTCAGTTATTTCTTTCTCGGCTCACCACAAGAAAAATCAATACCCAAATGAGTTAACAGAAATCAGCAGGATCATGCCCTTCAGAGCACGCCTACTTGCGTAACACCACCTCTTCCCTGCTTTTGCTGTCCAAAATAGGCATCGAACGCATCTACCAAGCTTGTCGACGGATGAGGCACATTGATCTACAGGGTAGCTTCTACTTCTGGATCGGTCTCGATTGGGACATTAGGTGCATTATTTCCACCCCTCAGACGAGAAGAAACATTGTCAATGGCAGAATTGAGTTGGCTGATCTTCGCATTCAGAGTCTGCCTGGTCTTCTGCTTGCAACAAGAGGACATTCAGAATCAGATAAATGTATCACATCCCTATCAAAGGACAAATATCCCTTAAGGAGTTACCCCGTAACAATTACCTCCAAGCCTTCATCATAATATATTGGCCTCTTGGCCCTCCGAAACCCATACTCGTCTTCATTTAGCAGAGATCTTCTAATCTAAAAGACATGAGGTAAATTCTCACTATTAGTAGTTGCCATCCAAACTCATCCTTTCCAGAACCTCACTTTTTTCTCTTACTTAATACAGACAACAAACACCACGTTCCTTAGCTTCACTTTAATGTTATAAATCAGGAAACTCAAACCAGAATCTAGTTATCTGCACGTGTTTCTCTTTTTGTGCTTATATACAATGTCGCAGTACAAGTTGCACAGAATTTGGCAAATTTTGCACCAAAATGGTTCCCTCATGAACAGTGCTGTCAAACTCATCTCCCCGAATAAATTGGAAGACTACTTACTGCACCAGATAAGAACTAACTAATTACCTGCGGAGCAAATACGTAAGCTAACGTTCCGAAAATAGCACCACCCAGAAGAAAACCGGCAACAAAATCACTGCCTCCACCCCTACCACCATCACTGCACACCATAAAATTAGAGTAGAATATATTAGATCAGCTCTATAGGATAGGACTCTTTGGACGAAATTTTAAAGGAAATTATGATGTTAAAAGCAAGAAAAAAAGGAAAAGGTGCTATGATATAAAACAGAAAGAAAAAATGGCTTCTGAAATGACTTCGCGACAAGAGGTGTAGTTGCGATAATTTCGGAGAGAAAGTTGACAAAACTACTCAACAGTATCAAACAAACACGTGAATAAACTAAAAAATGGTGTTTGTCGCTTGACTGTAAAAACTGAATCCTATTAATGAAAACTTCAAACTTAGAAGGTGTCATAATATTGAACAGTGGATTAGAGGCCATTCTAAAAGAAGTGTTCCCTATCTTAACTTCTGCATAAAGGGAATTTGGGTGCCACCGGATGTGTTAAGAACCGGCAAAACCAAAAGAGAATCTCATGTGAAAACATACTTCCAAAAAGCAAGGCCGAATAAAACAGTATAAATTATTCAGATTGTGTTGTCTGTTATCACTTTTATTTGAAGCAAATAATGTCCAGGACAGGGACTCCTTCTTTAGTAACTCGCTAAGAAAAAGGAGGCCCCATCATGTAAGAAACCAGAACCTGTTATTGGATATCAAACTTCATAAACTGACAATTATGAGGCACAATATCCTGCAAAATTAATGCAACATCGTGTGATGCACAATTTGTGCATTGAAAATGAAAACCACACTTTATTAAATATGGTGAACAAGTGCAATGGGGCACTCGTTAACAAGATCCACAATATATATCCGCAAGACATGTCCATAGAAAGAAAGAGTAACCCTAAAGTTTCTACCATCACAGACTACCTTCAGCAAGAGCTTTCTTTTTATGGGGAAGGAACAAAAGTTTACTTGAAAAGCATTGCCAACTACTAAATAATCACAGCAATTTCAGAAATGGAACTATATGCCTATAATATGTAAGTCCTGTTGATTTGAATAATACTGAAAATATGACAAGTAAATATTTGAGATATTGCATACTCTAGACTATCTAAGTAATTGGAAGAATTAAGCATCCTTCAATCGCACGTTACCATGGACATGGATTCCATAGAATTCTTTGCGTGTTTACCCGCTAAATAAAGTAAGAGACGACTTAGAATGATTGAATGGACAAGAAAAAGAAAGACATTGAAGAGCACAAAAGTCACAAGCACAAGTCATGGACAATCTAAGCACACGAAAATCAGACAATTCCAAGGATCAGAAGACTAAGTCAATATAAAGAAAAAGGACAACCCCAGTAAGTACCACTGTCAGGAAGGTAAAAATGCATCGTGTCACATAATTTCATATACATAAATCACAGAAAACTCGTCCAAGTGCCCATCACATTGTAGTAAGATTCAGATAACATACTGGTACTCAGCACGAACTGAAAAGCGCCTCTTGTCTTCAATTTCATTTGACTTCTTCTGGATATTCAGCCTTGGTCCAGTCCGAAATGAAGTTGACTTGAGAAAGCCAAGCTCACGAGCCTTCAGATGAGACCCACCTTCGACATGATTAAGGTAATAGCATAAGATGAAAGGAACAAAAGAACTCAATTAATGAGCCGGTGAAGCAAAATAGCCTTGGTATCCTCAGAAAACCTAATTTGAGAAAAGCACAAAAAGAAAGAAGCTCGATCTAATCTAACATTAAATTAAGAAGCAGAGCAATAGAAACTGAAGCGACATCACATGAAATTTACCATGCTACCTAGGATCATCTGCACTTATAATCAGTCAGCATGCAGGTAATGTAACAATGTTCAAACTAACAGCATTCCTATCAAGATCTAGCGAGCATAGGCAGCTATATGATTGAGGATTCTCGAACCTAGCAAGACTCATACAAAGTTCAACCCTTTCTTGTCTCATAATTTAGGACTAGAAACATAGTCAATGGAATATTTTCGCTATAAAACCTTTCAAGTAGAACTAATGATGTTCCGCTGCTTACGCTGAAGACATTCCTTTCCTTGTTTTCGAAATAGTATCTCTTGTGGGCTGGGATTATGCATACTTGAAACTTTCCTATTCACAAGTGAAGGAAAGTCGATAAAAATTTTCAGCCACCAATTGCCGATGAAATCAGCACACAACTCTTAATCCCGAGGCTTACGGAAAATCAGCTGTCGTTTAAGAAGCATTCGAGTTGACGCCTAAAGATTTAAGTATCCTTCAAGTTACATTTTCTGACGACCTAACAGACCCTCGACCAGCTGAATCCGTGCCTAAAACCAGCATTTCAATGTTCAATGGGATTACCGACAGATGTTTAGCGATTTTTAGTCTAACTTCAGCTGAGATTGGGCTCACTTTGCAAATTAACACCGACCTACAGGCTATACTTGTTAAGGAGGACTAAACCATATGAATTGCCCAAGTTGCCTGAACGAGCTATTATTCCCTCGCCATTCACTACCCAAAGGCCATAGAGCAGAGTTATCTCCTGTAGCAGCAAGAGTCTAAACTCATCAACCAAGTATCTGGCCGTTGGTATCCCTAAACTACACGAGTTTCCTCTCCAGGACATCAAGAGGCAAAGGGGGGAGCGATGCTCTGCATGCAACACTTAATAATACGCCTCTCATGAGCGCTTCCCAGCATTACGAGTCGCCACAAAGCAGGGCGGGGGCGGCTAAAATCATATATGAAGGCTCAAAGTAAAGTGGGAAGGAAAAGAAGCGGCATCACAGTCGCGATTGCACAACAGCCTCAGGATCATTGTTCATGAACCTGTATAAAAGCAAGCCAAACGTGGACAGGATGGGACATAAGCGTTCGCATTCCCACAGCAGGGGGGGTTCAGTACGAACACTCGACTGACAGAACCCGGAAGCAATTCGGATCGAAACAGAGACACTAGTACGCGTGTATAATATAGCAAACGAAGCGTAACGTTGGCGAGGGCCCCCAAAAAAAAAAAGAGAGAGAGGAATTCGGGATCATTCATTCAATTGCAACCGCAGAAGGAAGTGTACGGGGAAGGTGGAAAAATACAACAGAAAGGGGAAGGGGAAGGGGGGCGAGAGAGGAAAGGAGGAAGCTGGAGCGTGTGGGGGAGTTTGGCAAAAAGCGAGGATGGGAACAAATCGGGGGGGAGGTGGAAGCGGAAGCGATGCTGATTCGGTGAAAGGTGTGAAATCAGTGATGAACTTGTACACCGACAGAAGGGGAAAACGAGCTTACCGGCGGAGGAGGAGGAGGAGGAGGAGATCGATAGTGGGGAGAAGCAGGTCGCCATTTCCCACGGCCAACGACACACAGGCAGAGAAGAGAGAGAGAGAGAGAGAGAGGTAGAGAAGCGAAAGAGAGATCGTCGTCGTCGTCGGAGGAGAAGGGGAAGAAGAGGGAGGGAGCGAGGATAAAATGGAGCGGAAATATCGAAAGGAGAAAGGGGGGGGGCGGGGGAGGGGCATTTGGTTGTTCATGGGGGAGAAAGGGGGAATTTACCCCTCTCTAATCCTTACATTCACGAAAATTGCCATTCCGAACTCACCCCTTCAACTTGGGATTAGGGCTGCGTTTGGTACAGCATTGGGAAGGGGCTTTCAGTCCCGAAAGCCCCTTCCCAAAAATGCTGAACCAAACGGTTAGCATTGAGCATTGAAAATGCTCAAAACTAGCATTTTCAATGCTGAAAGCCCAATGCTATCAAGACTAGCTTTGGACTTTCAAATTGAACCAAATGCCAAAATCATTTTTATACTTCCCAAACTACCCTCACTCAAATTTCAATATTCCTGGCTTTGCCCTCTCGTTATCGTTCATCTTCTTCACCAAAGGGACTCCGGCGAGGGCAAAGGGCCGGCGACGGCGAAGGTCCGGCGAGGTCGCCCGACCCAGGCGACGGCCGCCCGGGTCGCGATGGCCCAGCGCGCCGCCGGTCGGGCGATCGCCGGGTCCCGCGACCTCAGCGGCCGTCGGCTCGGGTCGCGCGACCCAAGCGGCCGTCGGCCTGGGTCGCGCGACCCGGGCTGCCGTCGGCGGGTCGCGCTGACCAGGCGGCCGTCGGCCTGGGGTCGCGCGACTCAGCCTCGTCGCCCGAGGTCGGCGTCCCTCGCCGGGGTCGCTCGGCGGCAGGCGGCGGCCGCCGCGCGCAGATCCTGGCTCGCCGCGGCCGTAGCCCTTCGCGGAGCCGGCGAAGGGTATTTTTGCCTTTTTTTTAAAAAACCCTCTCAAAGCCCATTTGTAAAAAAATTAACCAAACACTACTTGGGTCAAAATAGCTTTGCAAATGAGTTTTTACCAAACGCCATTTTCATTTTTCCTAAAGGGCTTCCACCCAAAGGCATTTGCATTCCCAAAGTAGCATTCCAAATGCTGTACCAAACGCACCCTAGGTGGACGTAAGTAAACGATACTTACTGGGGGGGCCGTAAAAAGGATAATTTTGAATACAAAACCAAAAACGGCACTTTGGTGTATCCGTCGGCCAAAATTCCAAACAACGTCATCACTCCCTCCTAGGAATTCATTTCTTGTCCATTTCCATTTTGGTATCACCGTTGCCACTTTTTACTCCTCGACTCCCCCCCCCATCTATTCTATTCATATTTCATATACAAACATGAGTGGTGGGTTCTGTTGAGTTTCGCCAATTAACCTTGAATCATTCAAGTTATAACTAAGAAAAAAAGAAGTATTTGGGTCAAGTCAGGCCGATCATATGTGACATAGACCCGTCAAAGTAGATCATAGACTCATTTTTTAATTCGTATTAAATGGGCCGAGTTGTTATATTGTTCGGTCTTATTCAATAAATGGGTTCAGAAATGATAAAGCCTAATATAATATGGGTGTTAAATGAGTTCATAACTTAATTGGACCCGATCCACTTTTACGACTCTCTTCGCTCTCAGACATGTTAATACGCGTTTAATTACATTTTTACCTGTTAGCATAAGATATAGAAGTTTACGCGTGTTAATTGTATCATGTTGTGTCGAGTAACCCATTTAAAAAAAATTGTCGTGTTTGGTATTCAAGAATATAACATGACTGATAATGGTGTGTCAATTGTATCATGTTATGTCGCGTAACACATTTAAAAAAATTATCGCGTTTGGGTTTCAAGAATACAACATGATTGATAAACGCTTGAAACGTGCCGTGTTCGATTTAGACCTGAATTTGACACTACACAAAAAGCACAGCCAGCCCTACTATAATTAACACTAGCCTCTCCCCCTACTCCCGCTAGGAACCTTAAAATTAAAAATTAGACCTATCAAAATGGATCATGGATCAATTTCCTAACTCATATTTGATGGGTTGAATTGTTATATGAGTTTGTTATATTTAGTTAATGGGTCATAAATGGATTTAGACCTAACTCTATGGGTATAAATTGGTCAAAAATGAGTTTAATATGGGTATTAAATGGGTTCACAACTTATTTAGACCTAACTCATATCTGAGCAAAATTAATGAAACGACTCACCGATTATGTGACCCCGGGTGTTCTTTTTAAATTATGTTTGTTTTGTGGAAAATGAATGATTTAAAAAATATAATATCTTTCTAAAAATAATTGCTTGTTTCGTTTGAAATAATCAACCGATGAAATTTTTTTGCATTATCCAACAACAATTCATGTGTAAATATTTTCATGGATGATGAAAATATTTTTCTTTCATTCATTTTTTTTCATAAACGATGTAAGTAATTATTTTTAGGAAAACGTTTTTCGAATAATTTATTTTTTGCAAAATAAATGCACCCGTAGGGATCGAAGGTTGGTCGTCGGCGGTCGGATGTTAGGTTGGATTGGGTCAGTGCATCAGTGACCATTATGTCCTATGGGCCTCATCTAGCCTAGGCCCAAAAAATTTAGAAAATACATATCATACGTCAAAATGGCGGCGTTTTAAGCAGCGATGGATCGATGGTCACCACAAAACGTTGCAAGATCATGCTTTTCTTTATAACTACACCTTGAGTGGCACGAGTAAAAATTTTTCGACTCTCCTGATCAACAATTTATCCATCTCAATAAATCGGCGTAATATGCACTACTGTAAAAAAATCGTAAGGCATTTCTCCACTTTTCATATTTCGAAATTGCTCTTCTCGATTATGAAAAAGTCATCTCTAAAACGAAACGTCAAAATTTTCGAATTTCCAACTTTGTATAACTTATTCATTTGCTTTGAATCAGACAACCATTTCACCATTCTCCTTTGCAGGAAGTTTATCCACCTTCTCCGCCTTCCAAATCTTGATCTTAACATCCAACAGACAAAAAAAAATCTTGATCTTAACATCCGTTTACCCCTGAGACTGTAATTAAGGGCAAATGAATAAATTATTTCTAATCTCGTTGGCGCACGTGGTTCATTTGTTCCCACTATGAAATTCCTGTGGTCAAGCTGCCTAACTTTATGATGAAACAAAGTAATGATTCTTGATTTCCTCTAATCGCATTTTTTTTTAAGTGGCTTTCGATTCTAAAACCGTCTTCGTCGAAAAGCTCCCTTTCTTCATTCAAATTTCCAGATTTATGGAGATTGATAAATCTAATTGATATGCTTCCACTTTATTGCCATTTGCTCAAAGGTTTTGTTTTTTGTTTTCCTAAATCACAACAATCAATTAAAATAGGGAAAATACCACAAAAAACCCCAAACTTTACCACTTGTGACAGATTTACCCTAAACTTTTTTTTGTGACACGAAAAATCTCAAACTATGCCACTTGTGACAAATTTACCCTGAACTTTTTTTTGTGACATTAAAAATCCCAAACTCTGCCCATTGTGACACATTTACCCCATTAAACTTTGTCCCTAGGGTATTTTCGTCTTTTTTTTTTCCTTTTTTTTTCTTCTCCGGCGAGGGCATCCCTCGCCTCGCCCCATATCATAGTTTACATCCCCATTTGTTATATATATATGTTCTAGGAAAGACAAAGGCGATGTGTTTGGCACGAGAAGAAAGATCGGGGGGGAACTCTAGGAGGGTTTAAATTACATGCGTTGTCACGAAAAAAAAACCCTTCGCGAGAACATCGATTTGTTTAGTGCAAGTAAAAGAAATAGTCGTGACCGAACTACGCATTCGATAACAACGGCGTTCTCGCGTCAAAAAAGTTTTGCATTAGTGGCGAATTTAATCCAATTAGAAGGGATTGTAAAAGAGGATTGAGAGGAGGTAACGTGGGGGATGGTTGATATTAGTTAAAGATGGAGCCTCAAACTTTGACAATCGAAGGAATCTTGCCCGATTCCGTAGAAAGAAGGGACGCCCCCCTCTCTCTCTTTCAAAAACAAAACTTTTCAAAGGAGCCCTCCCCCGGGGCAGATGTAAAAGAATTCTTTCAGGGTTGGAATCGGGAAAGGGAAGAGGGAAACTACAAAATTCTAAAAATTTCTCGAAGATTAGATTCCCACAAGCGAAAGGGTATCGACCCACATGTGTATCGAGTGGCAAGAAAAAGTGGGCTGTCGTGAGCTGATCGCGGCTGCGAACGTCTGTCTTGTCTGAACTTTTTTCTTTTTTTCATTTCTGGAGTAGTCAAACGCGTTTGCGTGTGGATGTTGAAGAGGTGGGAGGGTTTTCGGGGTTGGGGAGGGAGGGAAGGAAAAGAGGAAGGAAACGTCAAAGGGCTGCAATAATTGTGGTTTGATTCTGAGAATCTTTGGCTGAGTGAAATCAAAATGTCTAGGGGTTCACCTATAATCTCTCTTGCCTTTTTTTTTTCTTTTGCCCCTTTACACGAGGCTTGTGTTTGTAAGATTGGCTTTTTGGCCCTCCTCCGAACCGAAGCATTTGGATTCCTTAACATTTTACTGCACTTGACTTTATTGCATGTGCACATATGACCCATAAGGCGATGGTAGAGAGAGAGAGAGAGAGAGAGAGAGAGAGAGAGAGAGAGGGGTGTGCCCATTTTTTGAGAAGAATAATGGGAAGTTTATGCTTGGAAGGAAAAGTAAACTTTCAATTAAAGAAGATTAGGAAAGTAGGTGCTCTTATTGTTCTTGGTAATCGAAAGAAGGCGCTCTTCTTCAGACTAGTTATCTAGTGGAAAAGCACTCGGTTGCCCATTAATAAAAGGAAAAGGAAATATTCTTGCACTTCATCCCTCAGTTATTTGTGATCTTACACTTAAACCCCCTAAACGAAAAAGCAAATCAATGCAATTGATCGAGAGAATATAACAAAAACTCAAAATTGTTGAAGGAAAGAATGTTAAAGAAAGGTCATGATTATTAGTTGGACCATATAATTTTGGCCCGAAGAAAGGTGGGGATTGAATAGGAAATCGGACCATATTATCGCCTGATCAACAATCCTGTTTACCGCTAAAGTTACGAAGTTGCTAACGTGTTGTTCTAGAGCTGATAATATATG